ATGTACAAAATACATAATAATACATAATATAAATATAGATGTAGATTTGTAATGACGTTTCATTCACATGTCACTTATTTAACATGTTCATATTTGGACTCTTTGGATGTATATTTTGTGTTCCATAATGTGATAGTAAGTTACTGAAGAATATTTTTGCCACAACAGATCTTTCTCTTCAGTGAGCAGAGAAAGTTTGGGTGTCTTCTTTGCAAATTAAATGTGTGTCTTGGAGATTTAGCAGATCTGGCACTTTAGAATATGCCCCAAGATTCACCGAATTGATCATTGATGCTGGGTAGACATGTGATAATTCTCCTTCAGGGTTAAAAAAGAAAAATAAAAACATTAGTTTGGGTCTAGGGAAAAGCAGGAATTGATGACTGACTTTACAGCTGTCACCTGAAGGATGTAGAGATGTTATCATTTTTCCTGTGCAACCTGCTAAATCCTTTTCCCTATACCTTTCCTCTTGGTTAGGACTCTCAGTATTAAAACACGTTCTTACTCCACGGGTGAAGGCCACTCATGTTGCTGTTGATTCCATGAAGAGCTACATAGATGCAATTTATGATGTTACAGTGGCATATGAAGGTACTGTGGACCATAAAGGACAAAGGAAGGTAGCACCATCCATGACAGGTGAGTAGGTATTACTTAATTACTTTTACAAAACCTCCTCTTACCTGAGTCAAGCTGGGAAAAATTTGTATCCTTCATGGAGTTTCCAAAACATTCAAGATGAACTTTTTTCTGGATCCCAAATGATATGCAGTTGGGCACAGCTTTTTGCTTGACTTCTTAGTTTTTAATTAATGGCTTGCTTCCATTTCGGTTGTCTTTCTACTGGCCGGCAAATGTATTTGTGTAGATAAGCTAGCATTTAACATGATTTGTTGCTACACTGGACTTTAAACTAGGGGGGAGCTCTTTGGTTTTTTTTTAATATGTTTTTATATTTTAATTATATGGTTATATCTATATTTTTTTAACATATAGATATATTAAGGACAGCAACTTACTTTACTTTGTAGCCTGTTCAGGCAGGCATAACCTGTGAGTTCCATAATCTTCCTCTCCTAAAAGGGCAAGAATGAGGTCTTACCTCTTATATCATAACAAGAATCACCATATGTGAGCCCAAAAATGTTTCTAATGGATTTGAGGAGGGGAAGGACAGAAATAAAAGTGAAAATAGAAGATTTCACCCCACACAGAGCAGGCACACACATTGATTGATTATGTGCCAACGGGTCAATGTCAGCATTAAGCAACCACATAGGTAGATATTCTCCAAGTCTTTGAACCATGCACCCATCGTTGCTGTAAGTGATCCATCCTCCTTGCTGCTGTTCATCCTCTTTTTCTCCTTCCTTCCTCCTTTCCCAGCATTAGAGCCTTCTCCAGAGAGCCAAGTGTTCACAGAATGTGCCAAAATGGGATAATTTGAACCTAGTCATTTGTGCCTTGAGTGAGATTTGTTCTATGATCCATTTGTTTATTTTTGAACCATTCATGGTATTCTCAGGACTCTTCTCCATCATCAAATATCAAAAGCATCAATCCTGTTTCTATCCTGCTTCTTCAGAGTCCAACCTTCATTTCCATAGAGTGTCACAGAGAAAACCATTGTGTGCACAATTCTAATCTTTGTGGGTATAGACGTATCATGACATCTGAATGTATTTTCCAAGGCCTTCATTGCTACTCAACCAAGTGCTCATCTGTGGCATATTTCTTTACTGCTACTTCCTTTACTATTGATAGTCAATCCAAAAAAGCAAAAGCTGTCTTCATTTTTAATTCTAAGCCTGGTTGCTATACCTATTTTTGTTAATTTGGTCTTTATATGTAATCTTACTCCCATTTTATCACTAGGCTGCTTGATTTCATTACTAGAGCTTGCAGATCATTTTCATTTTCAGCACTCAGAGTAGTGTCATCAGCACAGCACACATTATTGATGTTTCCTCCTCCAAGCCATTTTGGTTTCCTAGGCCTATACAATCTAATTACATTTTCCTACTTAATATTTCTAACATTGGCATTCCAGTCTCCAACCACAAGCAGTGCATCTTGCTTGCATGTTCTATCAATTTCAACTTTAATGTGACTATAAAATTCATGAATCAGTGGTTGGAGCATAAACTGAAATAATCAAAATAATTGCATTGTCATATTAAAGAGTTCTCCGCAAAATCTACTTGATGTAATCACCGATTGCATTGGTGGTGGAATGCAAGCAAGTACAAAGCTGGAAAGTTGCATATAGACTGTAGGCTGCCCATCTGAGCTATTTGTCCATCATTAGCCACAAACTAAATGGACAGTGAAGTCTTCTGTTATGACTGAATAGTGCTCAGTGCAACACACCAAGTAATAGCAATCCCTGTTGGGATTGTTAGGCATGTCTGCTCATAGGGATGAGGGATTTCTGATCTTAAGAGACATGCATGTCCACTACAGAAAAAGGTGGATTAAATCTTTTTGCCTGATGACAGTTTAAAGTAATTTTTTATTTAATATGGAAAAGATTAGGAACTTAAGTAAAAAATACATGTATACTAAAGGTAAGGGAAACAAAGAGCAATTATTTCAGAACCATGGAGAAGATTTGTACAGAATAAAGATATCAGATAATTGCAACAGAGTGCCCCCTTGTTTCAGGAAGAGTAATTAAACAAGATAGAGAATTATGTAAGATACATTGGAATTCTCTCCAACCCCTTTACTAGTAGTTGCTGTATTTTCTTCTGTGTAATGAAGTAGCAGGTTGTGTGCATATTATTTTTCCCCCAGAAAATGCTATTTTGTTTATGTTTAAATACACTCTTAGGATAGCACTGCTACCCTGTTTTCTTCTTTTTATTAATAATAGGGTTTTTAAAAACAATATGTATTCATGTCTACAGTTTTTAGGAAATAAGGCTTTGACACAGACTTACTTCTGAGTAAACAAGGATCACTTTGCATTTAACTTTTTAAAGTTGAGAAAATTTGTTACTGTTTCTCTTTGGATTTTTTTTTTAATCGTAACCTTAAGAATAAACTGTAAAAATAGGTGCATTTTCTGAGAATAGAATTTAGGGATTTTATTTGAAACAAGACAGAGACTCTTTCATTTTGTACCAGTATATACAGGTAAAAATTAAAATCTGATGCATTCATCTGAGCCATCTAGCTCAGCCAGCCAGCCAGCCAGCCAGCCAGGGTTGCTGGGAGTCGGGCAGCATATACATTTAATAAATTATGATTATTATTTACTTCAGTCTAGAAGTGGCATATATTCAGTTATTCTTATTTACAGCAGGGTCTCCAATCTTGGTGGGGGAAAACACCCCCTGCGCCAAGATCTATCTATTCTGGCTGCTATTATTGTAATTTCTTTGATTGTTGTGAGCCGCCCACAATAGTTGAGAGTTGGGCAGCATACAAGTTTAATTACATTATTATTATTATTATTATTATTATTATTATTATTATTATATACACAACAATATGAAATCACAACTGCCAGTTCTTTAGCTGGTGTTGGCCTTCATTCACATCAAGTTCTTCCCAAGGACCTAGGATGTCATGATATATCAGTGTAATATATGTGCAGTTCCAAGCTGTGTGGCCTTTTGTAATTGTCAGGTAGAAATGTTGTCAATGCACAGATTTTTTAAGTCCTATCTAAAATTTTTTGGTATGGCACCCAGTGTGCCAATAACCACTGGGACCACCACTGCCAGTTTATGCCATAATCTTTCAACTTCAGTTTTCAGATCTTGATATTTTATGATCTTCTCCAATGCTTTGTCTTCTACTCTACTATACCTTGGTATTGCCACATCAATACTTTCTTCTTTTCAACCTCAGTTAAATCTGGTGTGTTATGCACAAAACTTCATCAGTTTCTCTTCTGAAATCCCGCATATTCTAACCTCATTTTTTATTACTTTTTCAACTATATGTTCCCACCAATTTTTCATTACTGGCAGATGATAATTTACAGATGTTCCATGAATCCTTTTGGCAACTCTGTTATGTCGTTGTTTATAGTCAGTTTGTGTGATCTTCTTGCATGAGCTGAGTATATGATCTATACTTTCTTCTGTTTCTTCTGTTTCTTTACATAATCTGCACTTCAAATCATTTGTTGATTTTTCAATTCTGGCCTTGGTTGCATTAGTTCGAATAGCTTGTCTTTGAGCAACCAATATCAAGACTTCAGTTTCTTTTTTTAATATTCCAGTTATAAGCCATTGGCAGGTTTTATCTTTATCCGCTTTATCCTCAATCTTTTGTAGAAATTGATCATGTCATGCTTTTCTTTGCCAGCATTTTGTTCGTGTTTTTATTACATTAGGCACATTTTGTTTCCTATACATTCAGTAAGTTCCAGTTTTTACCTTGCATCAGTGCTTGTTCTTGACTGTCTTTTACATAGTCTGCCAATGCATGCTTTTCTTCTTCGACACTTTGTTTGACTTGGTAAACCTCTGCCTCCATTTCTGTGGGGCAGGTATAATCTAGCAATATCACTACAGGGATATGCATAGTGAATACTCTTTCTCTTTTTTTTTCGGTCCAAACTGTCCAGTTCAGCTTGTGTCCAGTTAATAATTCCAGCAGTGTATTATAACAGATATGGCCCAGGCATTGATGGCTTTGATGGCGTTTCCACCATTCAGTTTTGTCTTTAACAGTGTTCTTACTCTTTGGATGTATTCTTTACTTACCACATTTTTAACTTGTCCATGCTTGGTGTTATCCAACATAAAATGCCCAGATACTTATAGGCTTCATCCTGATGGCTCCTGATCATTTGGCCATTTCAGCATTTCAATTCCATTACTGTTCGTGATTTTACCCCAATTTATTCCTATGTAGCACATTTCTCTAGGCCAAATTTGTTTTCCATTTTTAGAATTTCTATTGCCATGCATATATTGGTAAAATCCCTTCTGGTCTGATTGGAATAGCTGATTTGGCTTAAATTGGATGATTTGTGCCTCATAGTGTTTATTATTGTTGTTGGTCACACAATCAGCCAGATGTTTAGACTGGATTTCGCATTTTTATCCACCTATCTTTTGTTGTTGTTGTTGTTGTTATATGCTTCCCTGTTCTTTCTGTGGTAGAGTTCCTGACCTTTTTTATTTATTTTTTCCTCTCTTCCTTCTGTTTCCTATCTTCGTGCTCCTTTCCCCAGGAGGCAAGGAATCTGTAATGGGTTTCCATTGATACCCATGGACAA